TATGTAAACTGTAGAATATTGTGGTAATTTTTTATTAAAGAAAAACTCTAAACTTGATAAACTGGATTCGTAAAATTAAAGTAGCGAATTAGTGAGATATTTTTATATACATCATTATTAGACATTCTCTTTTTCTTGATATTTAATAACAAATATAGAAACTTTAATAAGTGAAAATATAATATATATAAAGATTTAGTTATAACGTAATGTATGATTCTTCATATTACATTCTTGCAAAGTCAACATTTTTAATGCACAAAAAATATATTTTAAAAATTATTAATATAGTATATAAAATATTATTAATATTAATTATAATAAATTATTAATTTAAATTATTTATATATACATATATATGTGTATATTTATATATTACTTTATTAATCAACAAATTTTATGTTATGTTATGTTTTCTGATGCATAAAGTAGTATCAGTTAACTCAATAAATTCCATGAAAATGGAACAGTAAATAAATAAGAATAGATTATAAATACTTTGATCAAATCTTTATATTTATTGTTAGATATAATCTTTCGATCTATCCAGTCAGATACTTCATTATCTTTGTGACTTTAATGTTAATAATAGATTCTTAAACAGATTGTAGCAAGTTTAGAATAAATTAAGGAATTAACGAAATAAGCCATTTGTTGCCTAACATAGGTAATATTTGCAAAAAATTTCTATCTGTATTCTTTATTATTGATTTATTGTCATTTGTTATCTGAAAGTCCACATCATTTATTCACAAGAATAAAACATGACGTGGATGCAGATAGATTTTTCGTTCCGCGAAGAATCAAGCATTTTGAAGATATAGTACCGATATTATTGTATTTTAAGCTTGAGTTTTAGCATTTGTATAGAAACTTCAATGGTAGGATAGACTTCTTGGCAGTCTCAGTCTTGGTATTCGAGCTTTGTGAGGGGAACAAAGGGATATAAATGCATATCAAATAATGCTACCGAAACGGCACATTCTGGAATCTACATAATTCAAACCGAACTATTATTGTTAGTTTGTATTATTTTTTATTATTATATATATATATATATATATATATATATATAAACACATATATAGTACTATGATTATTCTATAAATTCGCAAAACATTATTAATTGTGAATATTCTAAACTAGAAATTATAATGTGTATAATGCGATAACGTAACAAGCAATAATGTATACATTTATAATAATCAGATTGTATTATTACTGTCTAATCAATGATAAGATATTCGTTAGTGATGGAAATAAGCAGAAAATAATGAATTACAAGCTCGTTAATTCTCTATTATCGACATCGCCTCGTCACAAACAACTGCCTTCCCATCGTGACAGCAAATTGGCTCTGTGTTCTCCAAACCGGTGAGTGTCCAAAGAGCCATATTACATGATTTCATGTACACAGCCACCTATAAAATATAAAAGGATAAAATAACATAGCGCTTTGTGTTATTACTGTGAAAATTACCATTTAAAACGTCAAAAGAGCGAAGTAATCGAACAATTACATTTTATTCACATGAAATAATATGTTTTTATTATTGCCATTCACATTTTTATACGTGACTCTAGTTCAATTATATTAATTATAGTTTATTTTTTTGTTAAAAGAAAAATTAATTGCATGAAGAAAGGTATTTTTATAAAACACTTTCCTACTCTGAATGTTTAACCAAAAACTAATTTTATTAGTTATAAAATATAAAAGGATGAAATAACATAACGCATATACATAAAATATGTATTTTTTTTGCTCACCTTCAAATTTTCGATGTGCTTATTCAATTTCTCACAAATCAACATTGGTGCCTTATCCCGAACACTTTCGGCCTACGCATAGAAATGCATCAATTTTAATATTATTTTTTTAATTTTTATTACTCCTTAATTTTTTTCCACCTTGTCTAATATGTTCTCGATAGAAGTGTGAACTACTATTTAAAATCGTTTACATGTATGTTTCCAATTGGAAAATAAAAAGCAGGAGCTTTTCGGAAGTTAATGAAGAAATCATGTAGCAGCAGAAATAGAACGGAAATGGTGTAAAAGAATACCCACCAAGGCGATACATAACTGTTGACACTTTTCGGCGCCTTCTTGATCGCAGCTGACATTGTATTGCAGCGTGTGTTCTATTATCGATTTCGTTCCCGGAACGGGGAACACCGCGCAACTGCACGCGCCCTCCGTGACTTTCTCTTGGCTTACGGAATATAATAGTTTCTTTTTAAGTACAAAACAATGTTGCAACGTTTGCGAGAATAAAATTATTTTACGCTTGAAGGAGATTTATCGAATTCGCAAACTTTGTCATTAATAATTTTCAATTTCGAAAGAAAAATACATATATATATATATATATATCAGACTAACTCTGCAACCAATGTAATATTTTTGAGATGTGTATAATTATAATTTAATATATTATATAATATAATTAGATAAATATAACTTGATTAATTTAAAAATTTGAAATTGTCTCTTCGTAAGCGCGAAAAAGCTGTCAAATTATTTAAAAATGCATATTTTTATAGCATCTCTTCGTCTTACGTTGTGAGAGACAAAATTGCCATCAGAAGAAGAAATTGCCACGTCGCCTGCATCGCTGTCGAATTTACACCTCGCGTCGAGATCCTCACGAATAAACCTCACTCACGATTATCGCGGACGATCGAGCAAGCATGTGGCATATATATAGACTCGTCGTAATCACCCCTTATCCTCCCGCCTCGTACGTAAGTGCATGCAGCGGAATGCACGCATAATCACGCGATACCATTGTTAGTCGCGGGCGTCGTCTTCGCAGCGGTTCGAATTTTACTCGTCGATACTCGGAGCGACGTTCTCACAGAGATAATCACCGTCGCGATGTAATTCGAGAATACCATCGTCGAACGTGTGTACTCTCATTCGGAGTTTCGTCGGCGTGTACATAACGCCATTTCGACCTCGGTGAAAAATATACGGCGGAATTCCCATTAACCGCCGGACCGCCATTAACGAGACGCGCACGAGACGCGACGTTTTTTGTTATTTTATCCATCGACCTTTTTCCATAATATTTGCTCGAAATTTCATACTTGCTTGCACTTTAAAGCTCACCTCTCCAAAAAGTTTTTTCCGTCTTTGATCGTGCTAACTTCCGAACTACTTGCCCCTCTCTCTCGAGAGAGAGAGAGATTTTTCCTAAGAGACGCAAATCGATTTAAGAATTTATAAATAAATTATAACCGTGATGTGAATACATAAATGGAAATAAAATCTGAAAATAGAAAATGATACATTAGATTTGAAATATCCGATGTATCATAAATATCCTTTTATGTACAACCAATTAGTAATTTACCGTTTCCGGCTTTTAATACGCATTAATGCACATTAATACGTTCAATCGGGTTTATTATAAATTTCACAGAGAATAATGGTATATACATTTTATAATTCATATATGAATTTTACATATGAAAAATATTTATATAATTGCGAAAATACAGCTTTTTAGAAAGCTTATTTGCATGCAATAATTTTTTCTTTGAATGAAAATACAGAAATTTTCAATTGCAATGTAATTGCATTAAATAAATACATATCTGCAAAACAACAATTTTAAAACAACAAGCATTCAAGCATTCGGTTATATAGATTATAATATCTGGGTAACATAATAATACAAATTATATAGAACAATTATTATTTAAAATTCAGGTGATTGCATTATTTGTATAATTCGATTCTTAATACTTGAAGAATATTAAATTTCGTAATTCAAATCCAAATTTGAAAAATTAAGTAGACTAATTGCATAAAATGGTTTTTCGTTACATTAAGTCACATCGTGTTTTATGCAATTAATTTTCTACTCAATTCTTCATATTCTGAATTCACGACTTTAATTTCTTCGGATATTAATATTGGGATATAAATAATTCGTGATCGAATTTGTTATAAGTTAATCGTGGTTAGCCACGTAATATAGTCATGTCTTATACTTACTTATATTGTATTGTTGTGCATCATTTAATTTTTATTCTGAATTTTTATTTCTAAAATTTAATATTATATTTATTCCTATTCCTAATCTATTTTCTCGCTTACCCTTATATCTCGTGACATATATCACGTCTCCGGCGATCACGCAGGTGCAGTGATAAAACCAGTCACGTGACGACGCATCGCTGTCCGACGATGCACCGGCCGTTTCCACTGGCACCAACATGGCGTCCGTCATCAAAGGTGCGACATTCATGGTATCACTCTAAACGTATGCACGTATACTCGGCCTATGGTACATTTTATGTATTTACGGCAGACATTAATACAATTATTATCATCATATGTGTTTTCGTAGACACGGGCGAGATTTGGGGAAGATTGTTCGATCATCGTCCGTTCGTCCAAGGGGAGATTACGTTCTTTCTGCGAGAGTTTCAGGTGAGCACGAACTCGGTACGATATCGTTATCTCGACACTATCGTTATACCGATATTGACTTAATTAAAAATATTCGGACGAGATATAAATTCACATACATAACCTAAAAGTCAGATCACTGAAAATTATTGTAGACAAAAATAATAAATACAGTTCTGTTAAAAACTGTTATCATCTTGTCTGCATAATAAGATGATTTAAACTTTTTGTTTGTTTTTAAGAGCTTTTTTAATAAATATTTTTAATAAATAAAAAAGCTTCTTTTTATTTTATTTATGTTATGAAATCAGATATTGTTTCTTTTGTATTTTATAAATTTTGGAATATTGTAATTGAACATTTTATTGAACATTTTATTTAAAAGTAGAGTATTGTATACATAATACAGTTGTAGAGATTTTTGAATGATTGGTGGATATATCATTTTTAGGAAAAAAGATCCGACAGGGAAGTAGAACGCTTGTTTAAAATACTTGAGTATGCAACGGAATTAAAAGAGAGTCAATTGGATCGCACTGAGCAACTTGGTGATTGTCATTTACCTAGCCTTAAAGCAAATGTAGATGTTGCATTGAGTATGTGTAATCGTGTTTTACAAAGAGAAGAAAATTTTGACAGTGTATGTGAATCAACTTTTATATCTCTCATTGTTTTTACAATATTAAAAAGAATAGATTCATATAGATATTTTCACTTTGTAGGATAACGTTTTGAGTGAAAACAGATTACTTAGAAAGAAGGAATGGGAAAAGTTCATAAATGATATGAGTGATAAATGTCAAAGAGTGGACCAAACTTTTCAAGAGAAAGAAAACGAGATACAGGAGTTCTACGTTGACTTGGAAAAGAAATTGCATATTACACCATAAGCAATAATTTTTTAATCTATCTATGTATTGTCTCTCTTGCTATTTCAGCGTTTTATAAAATTCTAATATTTTTCTTAAGAGACAGAGAGAAAGAAGTGTATATTGAATTTATATAGATATGTCACTAGACTCAATTGTGGATCCTACTATAACAATAAAACCATCTAAGAAGTTGATAAATTTTATCTTGAACGATATAAAAGATGCAGGTGGTGCTCCGGATGGCATCATATCCTTACGCAAATCGAAAAAGTCCAAGAAAGAAAAAGTTGTAAATATTACATTAAAAATTGAAGATCTTAAATGGTTAAATAAATATCTAAAAGAACATAGAAAAACCGCAAAGGAAAAGATCTACTTACACGAACTTTTCGACGATTCCGATGTGATATTACCAACGCCAACAGAGACACCGCGAAATCCAGAGTTGGAGGCTAGAATACAGAAATTAACAGCACAACAAAATGCTAGAGAATATCAAGCAATGACGAAGAGTATCGATTCCACTCGGAAATTCCTACCAGAAGACAGCATCGCCTATCAAAGTAAACAAAATATTCAATATTCTTATTCCTTTTTTAAATATATAAAGTGTAAAAGACAATTTAATGTAACTTTCTAACATCATTTTATATTATCATTTACAGTGAAGCAGATAAATAAGCAACTGATTGCCGTGGCGCAATTTGTATTTTCTGTAATAGCTGGCTTCGTTTTTGGGTTCCTTGGGGTAGAACTCATAATTGGGAATTTGGACTTTGGATTTAGATTACTCCTAGGTATAATCTGCGCTCTAATTATAGCATTGGCCGAGATCTATTTTCTAGCTGTAAAGTTGAATGAGAATGGTTTTGATGTCATGGCTGGAAAAAAGTTACATTATGACTAATGTTTAAGCTTTACTCCACCTTGCCTTAAACATATATGTAGCAAACAAAAATAATTGCAGTCAACCGCTAATCAATTAATATGCTAAGCTATTTTCGCTAATTTTATATTATACAAAGTTTTAAAGATGTATATTAGTCACCTATAATTGTCATATAAGGCTTAAAAGACCAAATAAAATATATTGTGACATTTTATTTTTTTCATTCGATAAAAATTGATTCTAAGGTTTGTTTATAAATAAATATATAATTATTAATATAAGAAACACTGATCAATATAATTGCATGAATAATGAATGTCATGAGATATATATACAAAAATATGTACGAGGAGAGAAATGTAAAAAGATCTTAATATAATTTGATCAATTGTAAGTATATAAAAAAAATAATATCTTCTCTTTTGAGATGAATTCTCATGGCCTTTTAGAACTTTGAACTGTTATCACTGTGTTTGCTTTATGTCTGCTAATAAACACAAACGTTATAATCTTAATACAGAGATCTGTAAAGAAAATTTTCCAAAAGGACACGAGATAAATCAAGTTTTGTTAAATAATTAGTCCAAAGTGTGTGAAAACGTGTACGTTCTCATCTCTTATTTTCTTCACTGTCACTTTTCACACTGCTCTCACTTTTATCACTATCCGAATGACAAGCGCCATTTTCCTTGGTTTCACTTTCTCTCTCGCTGCCTGATGAGTTCCCGTTGTCTCCCTTTGTATCGTCGCTGTCTGAACACGAATCTGTGTCAGAGTCGCTATCACTGTCCGAATCTGAGCTACTCTCCGAGGAGCTACTGCTACTACTGCTGTGGGATGCTTCCTTGGCTGCCATCATTTCTTTAAATTGTCGGACCGTGATCTTCCTGGGCATTATCTCTCGTAGAAACTCCAGCGTGTCGTTAGTCTGCACCACTTCCGCCAGGTGTTTGTAATCCAGAGATGATCCCTTGTTGCTTTGCATATGGGCCTCCTCTGTCAGGTAATGTATAAAAAGTTCCTGCAAAGAAACATATCGTGAAATATCAAATATTGGACACATAAATTGTTTTTTTTTTATTTATTAAAGATTAATTTAATAAAAATCATGACACACGTCTCAGCAAACTAGTTCAGGTACATATCTCTAACCTCCAATCCGTAAAGTTCCTTACCGTAGCTTTTGTAACAAGATACAAGCCGTCCTGTCCGACGGTATCAACACTAGGCGAGCTCTTCATAATAGTCTTCACTCTTGAAATCGGCAAGCGCAGCTCTTTAATTCTCGTAGTAGAAGTCTGAGAAGTTTGCGTGCTCATCGTGCTTACGCCTTCTTGTTCTTCTTTATTTATGTGGAAAAGAATGAAACAAGACCGCAAAGAGAACTCACACAAGCACTATGATTTAAAGTATAGCAATTAGTTTAACGATGCTCCCTATTTTCGCAAACGGCACTGCTGTCGCTGTAAAGCATTGACTAATAAACCATGACAGAGGAGAAACTTTGAGTTTCTCGTGAACAACATGTCTTTGCTCGATTGAAATACCGGCCAATCAGCTTTCTGCTTTCCGATTTTAAAAAATATCTTTGTTGATTGGCTATTGTTCGATGCTTGCCGTTTGTTGCGTACAGTCTAAATCAGGCTTTAGCCAATTCTCTTTCCATTCGAGAGCTCGGAGATTTTTATCACGAACACTAGGCTTAATTGATGAATCCAAGCAGATTTCAGAGCGAGTTTCATAGGTTTTAAAAATCTAATCTTATTTAATCTTAGATTATCTTAAAATTTTACTCAATGAAATAATTGTATATTTCAAAATCTGAAATAAATCTAGTTTATTAGTCCCATATCTGATATCTAAAACCTAGTATCACGTATGTGAAAATGCATGCAATTCATCGTAAATAATTTTTGATTATCTAAATTTTTCTTTCGCAATCATTACATTATAAAAAATTATAGCTAAATTAAACTTTTTAAGATTTAAAATTATGCATTATATGGCAGTGTAGTATGGTATAAATGGGTCTAAATATAACGTCGCCTCTCGTACTTGACGAGACTGTCAAAAAAAATATTCTTCATAGCAATACAAGTTGTTCATTTGTTCACTACAAGTGATTTTGCAAAAGAACTTTACTAACGACTTTAGCCATATTTCCGATGATAATCCGGTGATGGATCTGTGTAATCTTGTTGAAGATTGAAGAGTTCGGTATTATTTTTTTGCAAATATTGCAAAAAATCATGAAAATGCGACAGCAACAACTGTATGCTTTTTTCATCCAGAGGTGTATAAGACAACATATTGCCAAGTCGCACTGCAAACAAAAAAATTGTTATCTAAATAGTAATTATTGAAATTAGCGAATATTTTGACTGCATTCTAATGTTCACTGCCATTATTGAAATCTGTAATATATGTGACACGAGTCATTCATTGTCAGTACTAGCAGTGGATATTAAGATACAGCTTTTATAAAAGTGATAACTACCAAATAGTCTGAGCAGGTGGAATGCTCCATACAATTGACTTGGCAATGTTTCCGGATTGTCATTCATTATCTGTATAAATTGTGGTCGTTCCCATTTATAGAGCAATTGAAGACCTAATGTCATATTAAAATATTCCCGAATGCCTTTCGTTATTTCCAACGTACCTTCCCTGAAACATGGTTAAATTGTACTTAAGTTCATATATTAAATTATATGTACATATAAAATGAGTTGCAATATAAAATATTGTCCTTTTTGTAATTGTAATTTTTGATTGCCTCATACCTAACATCATTAGATTTCCCAGATGATTTTGCCTCTACATAATCATCTAAAATTTTATCAACTGTATTTTGTACAGGCAATGCAGGTAACTTATGATGTTTTAGTATTACTTCAGATTCATCTATCAGCACAAACTTCAATTCTTCAGGCAATTTGATTTTAACTTCTATTTTCGTGAGATATTCTTCGGTATCTCCAGATGGTTCTATTCGACTAAAAAAAAATTGATTTTTTTCCAACAGATCACGTAATATAGAAAGATATCATGCATTACACAACAAACCTTCGTTTTTTTCGCGTAGGTTCAGACACAGATTCGTGAGAAGATGAAGGAGTCACTGTATTACTTTTGTTAAAACGACTCATACTCTTGTCAGCAACAGGAGTGCTCGATCTACTATCTGCATCTTTTTCTCTACCCCCTTCACTTCTTCTTCCTTGTGTTTTAGTTGTTGTATTTCCTTTTTTGTTCTTTTGAGCAGATTGCTGATTCGAATGTGCTCTTTGAACCTCTCTTTGTTTTTGTACATTTGCCTCATTGTATTTGAGCACTCTGCTTTCCGGAACCCATTCATCCCAACTATTTTTTTTTTTATAAAATAGAATTCAGTATATATTTGATTTTATAAAAATATAAACTTTTTATTATACATATATTATATAAAATAACCTAGTTTTATGACAAGTATAAATTGAAATTGTAACTCAACAATATATGGAAAACTTACTTCTTGTTCCAGCCAGCATAGTGAATTAAATATTTCACTTGTTTTTCCTTAGTAATATTGAACTTCAAACACTTGGCTTCGTATATCAATGGCCCATGAAAGCACAATACTTTTTCTCCTATATTTAAGTCACAACATTTAATATATAACAAATGATATACCAAAGAAGATAGAACAAATAATTACTTTAAGCTTGAAAAATTGTACCTTCCTGAAATTTACATTTTGGTGGCATTCTCGTATCTCTCGTATAACACTTATTTGAATTACTTTTTTTCGTCAATCGTACAATAAATTAGACAAAATTATAGCAGACACAACTCTTCTACAACATTTTTAAACAATCATTTTAATCTATCAAACGCTCCTAATATGTCAATTACATTTCATGCATTGAGTTAGCTGACGAAATAGATACTGAACTTTGTTGAGAATTTTGGGCTGCTTTCAAGAAAGTTTTTGGGCTGCTTTTAAGAAAAATTTTAGATAATCCGTCATACGATTGGCTGTTTGATAGTGTATTCTCCGACGCTCTACAATTTCTCCAGTTAACAGCCAATCATTTATTGTCGGAAAGCATCCATTGGTTGATGATCTCGGAATGACTTTGTTTATTTACTAGCGGAATTATACTATCTTACATCAAAGATCCGCAAATATGAAATGGTATATTTAAATTAAATGATATATTAATAATATATTAAAATTTACTTAATAATTAATAATTTCCTTTAGTCAACTGATGTGAACGATATATTATTGTTATTTTTTTTATGGTTGAACGCAGAGATGTATCCTTGGGTTAGATGACAATTTCCCGAAAAATGGAAAGATAAATGATACTAATGAAATCCTCTAAACGAAATAAGGATAATTATTTAGAATAGCCTTGTCACCTCCGATTTTGATAAAATTATTTAAATTTAAATTAAAATTTAAATTTAAATTTAAAAGTTTAAATTTTTAAATTTAAATGTTTAAATTTAAATGTTTAAATTTTTAAATTTAAATTTTTAAATTTAAATTTAAAAATTTTTAAATTTAAATTTTTAAATTTTTGAATTTAAATTTTTAAATTTAAATTTTTAAATTTTTAAATTTAAATTTTTAAATTTTTAAATTTAAATTTTTAAATTTTTAAATTTAAATTTGAATTATTTAAAAATTTTACATTTTAAATTTTGAATTGTATAAAAATCTTTGATATGATTGCTTTTGTCTTTAATTTCTCATAGCTCTAAATATATAAATCATTCATATTGAAGAATTTTACACAATTGCAAAGCAGTCTTTAATTTAAAAGTTGCTGAACACAGCCATTAATAATTGACCAATTATAGTCGAGTATTCTTATTATATTCAATCTGTGATTGGTCAATTTTTAGTTTCAAACTTATGATCTGTTAGTGTCGGTCCACAATAGGTGATTTAAGCTTTAAGAAGTAAGAAATTTACCAATCATAGTCGATTATTCTTTTCATATTCGATTATAATTGGTCAATTTCTTACTTCTTAAAGGTTAAATCATCTGTTATGGACCGACACTTACTTGTAGCTTATTTTAGAATGGCTTATAGAGGCTGCGTTCCAATATTCACTGCCAGTACTGAAAATATATAATTCAGGTCACATATATTATAGCTTTCAGTATTGGCAATGAATATTGGAACGCAGCCAGAATTTCATGATCCGGCATCGACGCCCGGCACCGATATTATGGCGCAAAAATCACAATCGTCTGTGCAACGTGCTCCAATTGCCAGTCGATTGTTTGGAAATCTATAATCACGCATTTTGAGTTCACTTGGTCATATTTGACGTGTCGTTATTTGTGAAGTTTTCGTATTTATTATGGAACATCTGTTCGCTTCTGTGATACTGATTGTATAATAATTCGTAAACACCTTTTTCTTGATGAATATTTTATAAATGTCGGAAAAGTTGCCAAAGTAAGACGTAAAAACTCTTTTTGTTATTATCGATATCAATTAAATGTCGATTATTTAATATTTTGTAATAATGGATCTTGCGGTCACGCAAATTTATGAGGATGAAGATTTTCCACCTACTCAGGATGTTTTGCGTACTGTACAAGAGGAAGAATCAGATCAGGTTAATTAAATATATTTAAATTATAATTAAATATATTTTTAATTATACAAAAATGGAGATTATTTGCAAATTATATTTTATTATAATTTATAATTTTTATATATAGTAATATAATAGATTTTATTAAATATTGTTTAGTTTCTTTGTATATTACATAATTATTTTTAATTTTGTAAATTTATGATAACTTTTTATGTCTTAATTAATATTAAATATTTTAGATTGGAACATTGAGCATTAATTCTACTGAGTATCAAATTAAAAAAGGGATTACAAAAATTGGTAGAAATATTAATTGTGACATTGTTATCAACGATGGGGTAAGTTTTATATTATTTCTTATTTGTACAAGGATTTAATCCATTGTTTATATAGATAGAAAGTAAAGAAAAATTTTGAGATAAAAATATAATAAATTTAAATATAAAATCAAGCGTAACATTGCATTAAAGTAAGTTTAAATCTAGTTTTGCGAAGACTTCTGATTATCATTGTACAATTATTTATAGCTCATCTTTATTGCTTCCGCCTGTATGTTTCAATATATTTTCTTCAAAATTAATTGAATTCCAGAATTCTTTTTGTCCAAAATTATTATTGATATCCATGTTAATTTTATCAGGACTAGCTATATGCAAATAGTGAAGTTCTTTTTCCAAAGGATCTAATCTTGGCCATTTTACATTGGTTATTTTTGGAATTCTGAAATAATTGAGAATGATATCTTCGAATTCTATTCACATTGTATTATATCGAAATATGTATTTTTTACTTACCCCTCTGTGGCAAACGATGCTAAAAAGTCAAGTAATATATTTTGCATATCTCGATCCTTTTGCGTTGTTGTTGGATCTACCCAAGCAGTATCTAATATATAGACTAAATCATCACCGTGAGAAACTCCTAGATAAAATAATATAAAGCTTTAAATGAAACTTGTTCAGAATTTATATGTTAAATCATTCCGAGGACATTATTGTTTTACATTGACTTACCATAATTTTCAGTCGTTCCACTCATCGCATTGCTTAAGCTTTGCGCTCCTCTATAACTGAAATAGTAAAACCAGACTGGATTCTTATTTACTTTGGCTTGCATTCGCGCGGCCTTTTCACCATCGACCACGAAGAAACGATCGCCTGCCATTTGTATCAATTCCTTTGTACTCGATCGGTCTATTGATTTTGTACCAAAGTAATGTTTCTTAATAAGACGCGCAATCTCGATATGCTTTTCTCTGGGAATGGTATAATTGAAATCGAGAAACTCTGGTCCGAGAGTATCCCAATTGTCATTCAAGTATTTCAGATTTTGATCGTCCGCGACGAACTCTGCGATAAATTAATATTATTCATAGATGCCTACGTGTTATCGAAAGCAATTTTCAAATTTTTCTGCAAATTGTTTCACCTGCTACAGGATAGAGGCCTTCTTCGCTTGTTACTCCCGTAACCCAGGGTAAGTCCTGGACTTCTCCACTGTTTATAATTTCAATAGGTGTTCTGTCGATAAAAGGTACTTCATCGCCAACTTTCTCAGGTACGGGCCCGAAAGGAGTGAAGGGATTATAGAAAAACGTCTGAAATCATAAAAGAAATCAAAATTTTTTTTCATTCTACATCCAAGTAAATCGCGCTTGTTATTCTAGATTCGTGAATGAATCTCCATAATGGATAAAGGAATAAATTTATGGAGATTTACCATAAATTTACTTGTGGCCTGTACGATTGCGCGAGCTGGACGATACCTCAAGCAACGAATCATATCTCTAGAAGTAATTGTAGGACATCCCATCAAAGCGCCAAGTTTCTTGGCTTTCTCTAAAGCATTCTCAGTTTGCGTCCAACAATCGAACGTTGTACCGCTGAATGATATGCCACCTATATAAAATTACGATATATTAATTTAATGAAATGAACTGAACATTTTTGAATTAAATTTTTATGCCGTATCACAAGAATACCTCGGAAGAGACCTTTGCTCATTTTTGATAAGTAATGATAATGTACACTCGCACCGCCAGCACTCAAACCGATCAAAGTCAGTTTCTTCGGATCACCACCGAACCATTCAATATTTTCTGATACCCAACGAAGTGCCATATTTTGATCTTTTAGACCCATATTGCCAGGGACTATTTCATCTCCCGTACTGAGGAAACCTAATATTTTTTTAAATTTTTAAAAATATGAATCGGGTAAAATGAACTTACACATATATTTTAAAACTGGCTAAAAATTAAATCTTATTTATATCAAAATATTTAAAATTTAATTTGAAGATTACTTTTTTAATAATATGTTAATAGTTTCATATCAATTAATTAACGTTACATACCTAGCGCTCCTAAGCGATAATTAATTGTGATAAGTATTACGTCACGGTCCATCAGATATCTTGGACCATATAATATACCGCTTCCACCTTGGAAAGCACCACCATGAATCCAGAACACTACCGGCATAGGAGTTTTATCTTCTCTTATTGGCACGTAAATATTTAAATACAAACAATCTTCAGCACCCACAACCTTGTCCAAAGATTCTGGTATCATATCATATTGAATGCATGGGGAACCGAATTTTGTAGCTGATATTTCGCCAATCCATGGCGGTATTGGCCGAGGAGGCTATAAGAAAAACGAGAATCTTTTAACTAAAATTAAAATATTTTTTTAAATATTTAATATTAAAAAAAAAAGAATCACAAAAAATTTTATTTCTAAGTAATAGAAAATAATTAACGAAATCAATTACCTATTGAAAAACTATTAATGTTTATCGAAGATATCTTCTGATTCGTATAAGAGTTATGTAAAAAATTGTATATAAAAAAATGCAGTTTTAAATTCGCATTTATATATTAATAATTACATTGAATACGTACTTTGAATCGCAATTTTCCAACAGGTGGCAACGCATAAGGAATCCCCTCATACGCCTCGTACTTTCTACCATGTTGCGAAATCTTGTAGTAACCCTTTAATTTTCCCAAAGGAATTTTAACTCTTGGAGCAATCTCGTCTGTATTTGCGTGAATGACAAGGCTGAAACAAAGCACGGCGATTAGTAGTTTTATCAGCATGATTTCTAGCGTGTTGCCCTTGATGCAAACTGCTGCGAACTGATTGCTTCTACAGCACGCGTTTGTTTCTTATATTCGATGTGATTTACATCGTTCAAAGTGCATATGCACTTATAACATAACATGTATAATTAGATAAATGTCGTCGCAAAAAAAAAAAACTCATACACGTAATAACTTAACTTAATAGCTAATAGAAATTATTTACTTACGCAACTGTTTTATATTTATCACAGAATTTACGTTCTTTTTAATAGTTTATCCGTCTATTTAGTAAAACAAAAAGAAAAAAATTTAGTTTTCAAAATGAAAATAAATTTAATGAAATATCTTGAAACATATTTGAAATATTTATTAAATTGAACAGTAAGAATTTGCAAGAGAACCATAATGTATAACTTTTACATAGTTTTTATTTTATCATCAAACAAAATAAAATAAATTTTATTCTTATCCATTATGCATACACAGATTTTGCATCACCTTTTTTTGCATAATAAAAAAATAATCAGCAATCCGATACTAAGAAAATATTTTGAATTTTTTTAGACTGTATCAAAAATACACGCAGAAATTGAAGCTAGTGGAGGCCAAGGATCAACCTGGATCTGTGACCTGAATTCTTGCAACAAAACAAAGCTTAATAATGTAACGGATGTTAAATGTTTTTGCTATTTGTCAATGTGCATTCGATTGTCGCCTCAGCATCTTAATATGCATGCTATATTTAACTTGTCATTATATAATCTTATTTACATATATGAATGTGACTAGTGATATACCAATTAAAACATAAAATGTTTTAATAAACTATGCATATACTATGAGATATACATATACATACATGTGTATGCGTATTATATAAAATTCTTATAATTGTATCGTATAAGTAATAATCTTTTAATGCTTCATTTAATATAATATAACAAAATAATATGACATTTGGTTTTCAAAGCAAATTAAAAAAAAATATTTTTTGCACAGTCGATATTGCGGCCTACTCGTTTGTATGAACTCAAAGATGAAAGCATCATTGAATTCGGTGCAGTACATGCAATTTATCGTAAATATCGTTCAATCAATGACACTATGATACCAGAAACACCTGCATCATCACGGCAAAAAATTACGGATAAAATAATCCCGAATACGCCAGATTCATCTCTCGTAAGTATCTTGCATTCAATTAGCATATGAAATTGAATTTAAATAAAATTTTATAACATGTCTGTTCTTCGCATAGAACAATTCATCCGGCGTGGATGATGACGGATCTGTTATTCTTGGAACTCAAAAAGAAGAAAATAGTGTCTTTCGACAACCGCGAGTTCCACAACAACGTCAATCCACAAGCATCGATAAAAAGAGAATCTCCTGTTCTTCCTCCGTGAGTGAAAATTCTCAAACCACCACGGTTTTGCATATATCTGACATTAACGTTAGCCAGAATCAAGTTAGTATATATGACGTGGAAACGCAAAATATTGAGAAGCGACACGAAATAGCAGAGAAATCCATACATGATATCGAGACGCAAATACTTCCTATAGATACGCCTGAATATCTTGTCAAAGCTAATACTAAAACTAACAAGCAGTTGTCAAGGCTAAACACTCGCGATAAAACAGCTGGCAGCTCTACAGATATCTACGATATAGAAACGCAAAATTGTATGGACGATATTAGCGAAATGGAAACACAAAAGAGCCAGATTGATATTCAAAATGTAACACGAAAGAAGTTTATGGATATTCATAATATAGAAACACAAGATTGTGCCAGTATTGACGAAGATGGTAGCGGCAATCAGAAATCTAAAATCGGCGAAAATAAATGTCGAGAAAAAGATTTAGCTGAAGTCAGACGCAATATTCACAATTTAGAGACGCAGATATATGATAATGAGGGTAATGCAGAAGATATATCTGACTTGGAAACTCAGTTTACGTTAGACAATATTACGGGGTGTAAAGAGAGTAGAGATATATCTGAAATAGAAACTCAACTCGAGACGGATGGCATTGCAAATAAGATTAGTAATGCTCAAGCCAATGAAGACATAGATAAAGACGATGTAACAAACATCATTGAAGATGGAACAAGTCATGAAAATATTACCAGATTATCGAAATCTAGATCCACCAGCCCTGGATATTTAAATTTATCTTCACCAGGAATCGATGAGAATTATCCTTGTTCACCGTTAAATCAGAGTGTTCATTTACTTGAATCATCAGATTTATTAAGATTCTTTGGCGAGGATATTGATAAACAAGAAGTGCAAGCATCTAATGCATCTACACCAAAATTACTTACAAAAATATTATCGAAAAATGACAGTAATGCCGAAAATGCATCAAATGCGTCGAACAACGAAGAGAATGATGAAGATGTTTTCAATGCTCCTACTCAACGCACCAAGCATAACTTTGAAGCTTTATTGTCGGATTCTGAGACAGATGAGGAAAACGCGCTTGTAATGTCCAAATCTCCCCAAAAAAAGGAGCCTCTATTACAGCAAATCAACGATTCAGAAACGAATGCAGAGGAATATCTTGCAGAGCTGGCTAAAAAGCAGCATGAATCTTCAGAAACTGCTAATAAATCGTATAATGAAAGTAATAAAAATGATCTTGGTACGAGTGTCGAATCTGAAGATATGTTTGAAGCACTAACGCAAAAGTTGAATAATCCTATGATTACAAATATCTCAAATTCTTTAATTAATCAACCAAAAGAAATTAATAAAAATAATGAAACTGTTGACACAGCATCAATGCAAATTAAAAGTAACAGGATAACGAAACAACAAACAACAGCTGATCAGAACAATGAAACAACAAACGCACCCGCGCCAGATATTAACGACGTAGCACCTATTCAATCAATTTTATCACGTGAGACTTCTCCAGAAATACCAATAAGTTCTAAAATTTCTTCGTCGAAAAATGATCAAAATGGCATGGATGACAAGGCAGCTACACAGATTATTAATGTAAAATCAGTTGATTGTCATACATCGGAAAATCTTGATTGTGAAGATATAGATTATGAACTCGCACCCACGCAAGTAATCGGAGAAGTTGAAGACAGAAACGAGAGAAATTCCATTCACGAGAAAACTAAAAAAGATTCTTCTAAAATTAATATGAATGATACTTTGGAACAGAAACTCAATGAAATGTTTGATGATATAAATAACGAGGTGAATAATACTGATGAGCTGCCTATGTCAACACAGTATTTGACAAATATTCTAGAATCATCGCAATGTCTTGACTCTACCAATAAATCCATTGTTGATGATGGAGGCAATGTGTCACTAAAGTTAGGAAGGAAAGATCGCGTATCTCGTAGTCAACGTTTACATAATACTAAAACAAGTATAAATAATGTAAATAGTGCAGATAGTGATTCGCAAAAATCAGATATTTATTTTTCTACTATTACTACAAAACGAAAGAGAAATATTTTAAAAGATACACAAGAGCTCGTAGATTCGGTGAAAGACATAGCTCTTCCTCGTCAAGATGCTAATTCTAATGAGAAAGCTATGGATAATACAACGGAATCCAATATTACGAAATCCGGAGTACTATCGAATGTTACGGAATCCAATAAAAGAAGAAAAAGAATCTCAAAGATGAAAAATAAATCCGATGTAGTAACAGAAGCATTAAACGATAACAAAAATAAAGTCATCTCAAGCAGGAGTAATGAAAGAAATCTTCGAAGTTCCAACTCGATGAAACAGGAAGATGAAATCCTATCAGAAAGGAACAAACAAGTTTTAGACAGAGATTCAGCCAAATGTAATGTCGATGACGCAAAAGAGAACTCGTCGAGTTGCATACCTTGTCCATTAGAAAATGGACAACGTGCGCAAACATTACATGCATTGGACGAGAGTGACGATGACATTCTAACGCGTTTACCAGCTGTTAGAATATCTGGAACACTCTCAAATCCGGCGAGTCCTTCTGCATTATCGACGTCATCAGGCTCCAGTTCAAGATCTAAAAAAGTCTTAAGAAGTAAAAGAAAAAAATATCTTTGAAAAGAAAATCGCTACATGAACAAAATATTAGAAATTCTGAGAAAAACGATAAACCAGTCGATAGTCATTCCTCAAATTCTATTCCTAACACCCCAAAGACTGCTAAAATATCAAATTTTGCTGATACTTCGGATGATTCCGATAGCGAAACCAATATTATGATTGATAAACGATTCCAACAAATGGCAAATAGAATTTTGAATAATGAATTTGGTTGCCAACAAATTAAAGAAAACAAGAACAGTACTCGTTCTTCATTTGATCTATTGGAGAATCCAAAACAGAGTACTGTTGGAACAAAAAATTCTGCGCGCATTAATTCAAAAATAACCCGACAGTCCAGCAGACAAGATGATCAGAATTCGCGTCTTCTTCAAAGAGAAACCCGCACGAGAAATGCACCCGGCAATTCTGTGGAGCTAGAAATGAAATCTACTGTTGCTAAGAGAAAAACATCCCTAAATATGACAGAAAAAGACGCAGAACAAGCCATTTCGAAAAAACGTAAAACTAGTCAAGTCATTGAGAAATATTCGGTTTCTACACGTAGTCGAAAAAATACAGCAAAAACCGCTGCCAAGCAATCTTCAAAAATTCTTGAAGATTTTACTGAAACAAACACACGGGGAAATTGTCCGATGATTGAGAATATGAAATCTTCCGAGGATGATAAGACAGCATCTAAAACTGTATCAGAAGAAACTTCAAAAACTTCCGTAAGTATGAGAGCGGACGTGAATATTAATCCTATTATACGAGTGAAACGTATAATTAATAACAATCGAGCCACATGTATCGACAATGTAACTGTGGAAGGAAATAACAAGAAAAAATCAGTTCAAGAAAAAAAAATAATAGAAACGGAAACAGATCAGGTGCAAGGTAAGGTCCTGCGAGTTTTACTTCGTCCCATACAGAGTTCCACAGATGACGAATCGCAAGAAGTGGAGAGAATTATGGCAAAAGGTCCGAGTAACGCACAGGATAAAAATTTATCTATCAGAGAAAATAGTAGTGCAAAAATATTCCAAAAGAAATTGAGAACTAGAAGTAGTAAACGACCTAATGAATCAAATTCTGCTAACAGCAGTGTATCATCTGAAGCAGCAGATTCTGATAATTCTGCTCCGAAAGCTAAACGCGGAAGACTTGCTAAAAATTTAGTTTCTTTATCACCGGAAATTTCAAAAAAGAAAGAAATATTTAAAAAACCTAGTCGTATCAATCGGAATTCTCCGAGTCTTAATTCTTCCGCGGAAAATACGATCGATGAAAATAGCCAAAGAAGTACAGAAAGTGATGTTTCAACGAGCTCTAGAATTTCAAGATCGAAGACAATGGGAATCGGGAAGAAAGAAAAGATGAAGATAAATCAAAATAATTCGATTGATTATGATGCTTCTTTAAAACTAAATATAAGCGTAGAAATGTCTCCTGTTTCAACATCTTCCAGAACGCCTTCCAGAATGCGCAGGAGTACATCTGTTTTAAGTAATTTTTCACCATCTGCGACGAAACATAAGATTTTGTTTACAGGTATAACAGAAGATTACAGTAAGATTATTAAAATGTTAGGTAAGTTTATATTAAAAGATAAGATTTGTGTCTATGATTTATTAGTATAGTTATTTTTTCATTCTTTAATATTTCTATCTTTTTTATTTTTTATAGGTGGAAGTAAAGTGGATGATCCGGCAAATTGCACTGTTTTAGTTACTGACAAAGTTCGTAGAACATATAAATTCTTATGCGCATTGGCGAAGGGTATACCCATAGTTACGATTGACTGGTTAAATGATAGCGAAACAGCGGCGCAATTTTTAAATTGGGAAAATTATATATTAAAAGATCCCGTGGCCGAAGCCAAGTTTGGTTTTAGACTACGAAAAAGTCTCGATAAAGTTAAGGAGAAAAGATTGCTAGATGGCTATACTATTGTATTAACATCAGGTCTTACGTTACCACCTATAAAGGAATTAAAAGGTAAATTAAAATTTTTATAAATTAAAAGGTAAATTAATTATTTATTTTTATAATACATAAAATATTTGACATGTTATGTTTTCATAGATATGATAACATCTTGCGGAGGAAAAGCTTTATTACGTCCACCGGCAAAATGGCCCGAGAAAACGGTAGTAATATCCTGTGAAGAAGATTTGCCAAATGCAAGAAAGTTCCTTGCAAAAGCACCAAAAACAGTTACAGTACAATCTACAGAATTTATTTTGACTGGTATCTTACGGCAGGAAACAGAATTTAACAAATATAAATTTATGTGATAATCAGTAGAGTTTGGGTAATACTACATATTGTTGCTGTTGATACTTGGATATTCAGGTATTTCAGCTATTAAGATAAAGATTAATCCAAACTGACAATGCTGTATATTGTTACGTTTCCAGTGCATAAAAACCGGGTGCAATCAAATTTTAAAACTTTTTTATTATTTTATTCTTTTTATGAAATATTCAAGCAGTAAATCTGCTCACTAATATATATATCTTAATTTTAAATTGCCAATTATATATATTTTATAAAATTTCACGTTTTAAAACAAGTCATTGCGATATTATTATTAATGATATTACAAGTTTTAGCACTATATTTTTTTATTATTTATAAGATATTATAGGAATTAGTTGATTATTTTCATATTGTGAAAATGTTCTTATTTTATAAGAACTTAGTACAAAGTTATGTATAAGGCTAACAATATCTGAATAAATCATAGAGCTTGTTTAAAAAAATCGTTTGCCTTATATCCCATTTAAAGCTTTTTAGATCTTTCAATAATATTTAAAGCTCTTCTCTTTGTATTCCGGCTTTCAATGTATTCTCGTCGAAATTAATTGAATTCCAAAACTCCTTCTCTCCTAGATTAGCATTACTATCCATGTTAACCTTATCAGGACTAAATATATGCAAATAATGAAGTTCATTTTTTAAAGGATCTAATCTTGGCCATTCCACATTGGCTACTTTTGGAATTCTGAAACAATTTGGAGGATTAGTATATTTGCATTCTACTCGATATTGTATACAATGTATATATTTTCTGCCTACCCTTCTGTAGCAAACAATACCCAAAAGTCAATTAATTTTTTTTGCATATTATGGTCTTCTTGTGTCGTTGTTGGATTTAGGAAGGGAGTATCTAATACGTATAATGTGTCATCGGCATGAGAAACTCCTAAAACAGATTAATAAATTCTTAAAATATTTATTAAATATAAATATGTATTCTATATATAAATTCATACAATAAAATTGGTACATTCGTATTTCACATAGACTTACCATAATTTTCAGTCGTACCACTAAAAAAGTCGCTTAAGCTTTGCGCTCCTCTGTAATTGAAATAGTAAAACCAGACTGGATTCTTATTTACTTTGGCTTGCATTCGCGCGGCCTTTTCACCATCGACCACGAAGAAACGATCGCCTGCCATTTGTATCAATTCCTTTGTACTCGATCGGTCTATTGGTTTTGTATCAAAGTAATGTTTCTTAATAAGACGCGCAATCTCGATATGCTTTTCTCTGGGAATGGTATAATTAAAATCAAGGAAGTCTGGTCCGAGAATATCCCAGTTGTCATTCAAGTATTTCAGATTTTGATCGTCCGCGATGAATTCTGCAATGTATTAATTTTCTTAAATGCTTCCATTAAAGAGACAATTTTCTAATTATTCTGGGCGTGATATCACCGGCTACAGGATAAAGGCCTTCTTCGCTCGTTACTCCCGTAATCCATGGTACATCCTGAACGTCTCCGCTATTCACGATTTCAACGGGTGTTCTATCGATGAAAGGTGCATCGTCGCCAATTCTTTCAGCTACCGGTCCGAAAGGAGTGAAAGGATTGTAGAAGAACGACTAAAATTTTAAGAAAATTGAATTGAATTGTGAAATCTTTTTCTCATATCTATAAGGCTCGCGTTTGTTTCAAAAGCTAAAGAAGAAATGAGATTTACCATAAATTCACTTGTAGCCTGTACGATCGCACGAGCTGGACGATATCTCAAGCAACGTATCATATCTCTAGAGGTAGTTGTAGGACATCCCATTAAGGCACTCAATTTTTTGGTCTTTTCCAAGGAGTTTTCAGCCTGTGTCCAACAATCGAACGCTGTACCGCTAAATGATATCCCACCTATATGATGAAAAACCATGATATAATTCAACCATAGAATTCAAGCCATAGAAATTATTTAATCTCTTTGCATTGGCTTTGTTACTTTGTCTCATAAAAATGTAAATATGAGAATACCTTGGAAAAGACCTGCGCTCATTTGCGATAAGTAATGATAATGCACACTTGCACCGCCCGCACTCAAACCCACCAAAGTTATTTTCTTCGGATCACCACCAAACCATTCGATGTTTTCTGACACCCAACGGAGTGCCATACTTTGATCTTTTAGACCCATATTACCAGGAACTATTTCATCTTCCGTGCTAAGGAAACCTATTATTTTTTATAAAATCATTTTTCAAAAGATTAGAAGCTTAAGACAAACATAGAATCAAGCTGTGTTTAAAATTTACATTTTAAGATTAGTTGAAAATCAAGTTTTATCTATATCAAAACACTGCACTGATAAACTTTGACAGTAGAGCTGTTATTTTCGATATATTAAAAACTTTTATTAAGTTAAACATGTAATGCCAATGTTACATACCCATTGGCCCCAATCGATAATTGAATGTAACAAATATAACATCATGATCCATTAGATATTTAGCGCCATACAACATGCCACTACCAAATTGGAAAGCACCACCGTGAATCCAAAATAATATCGGCATTGGGCTTTTATTATCTCCCTTTTCCCGTATGGGCACATAAATGTTTAAGTACAAACAATCTTCGGCACCCACAACCTTCTCCACATTTGGTGTTTGTTCATATTGAATGCACATAGAACCGAATTTTGTAGCTGATAGTTCGCCAACCCATGCTGGTATTGGCCGCGGAGGCTACGCAGGAAAAACAAGAAACTTAAATAAAACGTTTGTTGCAGGTATTTAACGTTAGAAAAGTTTTATAAAAACTGGCAGTGCAACAGAAGATATTTAACGACAAAGTACTTCAGCATCAGATTTATTAAAAAAAATTTATTTCCGCTTTATTAGTCTATTTGCTATAAAATTGTTATAGAAACGCTTAAAAAATTCAAATTTAATTATATCAATAATTTGTGACTATATACCTTAAACCGTAACTTTCCAACAGGTGGCAACGCGTAAGGGATCCCTTCGTATGCTTCATATTTTCTTCCATGTTGCGAGGTCTTGTAGTAGCCCTTCAGTCCTCCCAGAGGAGTTTTAACCCTTGGAGCAATCTCGTCTGTGCTTCCGTAAACAGCGAAAGCGAAGTAAAGCAGAGTAATCAGTAACTTCAACAACATGATTTCAAGTTAGTGTGTTGTCCTTCGTTCGGACTATTGCGAACTGACACTTCTTTATCGTCTCACTTGTTTCATATATTGAATAATCAGTGCTCGTTGTCTGCACACATACATAAATTTGATAAGCCTTGTTGAAAATAAAGTGTTTATCTCTTGTCAATGATAATCACTACTTGTGCTTGTGTATTTTTATCTTATTTATATCGCACACTTATTCTAACTGAGATGATTAACAACTGCATTTCGAGAAAAGCCGATTAGTGAAATCCAATCCGATTCTTTATCTAAGAGGATGGACATCTCCTAAATTTTTATCTCTTTAATAGACTAGGAAGTCGATTGTGTACCTTGAAAGGTGAAAATTACAAAAGTTTAGGAAATTCATTAATCTGCAACTATATCAAAGTCAAAAACTAGTAAATTTCCTCATTTTTGTAATTTTCATCTTGTTCAAGCTATACAATTAATCATTCATATCTTTTTCGTCTTGTTCAAGATATACAATTAATCAGAGTAAAAGAATTGAAAAGAATTTGATTTTAAATTTGAAGATAAATTTAACAAATTGTTATCCCAAAAAAATCTCCGAGTTATCTCTTAAATGAAAAGAGAGAGCAAAGTTTAGATTCGAAGATAAGATAAATCTTATATCGATTGATTATCACACACACAGTTTGATAACTTTTTTCTATGGAGAATCAATAGGCATTCGTTTGTAAATATGTATACGTGTGGCGTATATTTTTTCAAAATAACAATAAATCTAAAAATTCACTAAAATTTCATAAAGTACTTTAATTTTTATCAAAAATATTGCTGATTTGTTTGAACTGTTTACAGCTCAAAAATAATTTAAAACAATTCATTTTACAAATTTAATGCCATGTTTAATTAAAATCACTTATCCGATTACTTTATACATAAGATGTTTCGTCATTTTTTTCAATTTTCTTGCTAATTTGAATTATTTTTTTTATTTAAGCGAAAATTTTGCAAATCTGATTTTATATTCATAATCAATGATTCAAAAAATTCCCATTTTGTCTTGTATTAAACTGTTTGTTACATAACATTATTCTGTTTTTAGCTATTAAGAAGGAAAATTGAAAGGATAATAAGTGTCCTTAAAACCGCTTATGGGCCAAAATGGAAAGACATAGGTAAAATATTTTTCATAGTTCTATATTTATGCCAAATTTAATTCTAAGCTTATGGAATAAAATATTTTTGCTATTTCTATTTCATATCTGTAAATACATTAATTTCTTTTTTTAATTTTTATGACGATAATTTTATGATGATTCTAATATACATTTATATTAAAAATTTTCTGGGTAAATAAAGTATCATAAGAAATGCATTTTTTTATAATTGTTAAAAAATAACTGAAAAGAATAATGATAATCCTCCACATATGTCTGATCACTTTGTCACATGCGAATATTGCTTATGTAACTTATTTAGTGGCGGATTAACGCCTAGGCAAACAAGGCCTGGAATGGCAAATTTGAAGGGACGGCAAGTTTATGAAAATAGAAAATTTTCCAGTTTATCATGTTATACCTTTATAAAATATATTTATAAACGTTTATAAACGTTTGCACTAAGAAATGCGGGGATATAAACCTTTATCCATTTTCCTTTTTACTAAATTTATGAATTAATAAAATCACTTGGAAGCGGCTGAATATCAATGCCTAGGGGTGGCAAAATGTTTAATCCACTGAATTTATTTATACAGGTACATGAATTATATGAAAACAAATGAACAAATGAAATTAAGATGTGATATAGATAATGAAGATAACAAATAAGGAAAAAAACAAGATGTACAGGCAAAATTGCATTCTCGTTAACTAGAAATTTTTATTTCGTAGTGTTTTCGATACAATCATATCTTTTTAATGCTTATACATCAATATAAGATAATAAACTAATTCCTCACGCAAAACTTGAGGAATATTACGCAATTCTAAACCAATATAATCGATCACAATATACGTGAGCAATCCATCGTGATTGAACATCGAACATTCTCGGTTTAATTTGAATCGATCAATCAGCCTTCCTTAACTGTGTAACTGTGTTTTGCAGTATGTCGCGATACGAGTGGCTTGTTATGTTATGATGACATCGATAGCCAAATACACGATGTTTATCGATAATTGCTCGTTTCAATGACGATTGCTCATCGTTACATGCGTGAAAAACGCACGCATAAAAAAAAAAGGCTTCAGTTAATGATTAAATTATCATTTATTAGATCATAGATTTTTCGCGATCGAAGCAGAAGTTTAATCAACCATATCTTATCAACGAATTCAAATAAACACGCAAAAATTAATATAGTATCACCATAATTATCTTACGCAAAATGGAGAAAGGCAAAAAAAAAGTATCATGCAAACTCCAGATTCACGAAATAAGCTGAAGTGCAACATACGTTACTTTATACTTTGATAAATAACGCAATCATCAGTGCCTTTGACATAAATGATGATGATGAAGCACGAGTTACCATGCCGATATTACGTTGAGTGAGAACCTACGACTAAATGCATTTTCGATAGTAAAAAAAGAGAGAGAGAGAAGAAATGTGTTTTTCTCTTATTCCGGTCGTCTTAGGTGGGGGCTAAGTCCTATGAGATGAGATCCAACTTGACGCCGGCTCACGAGAATAGGAACGTGCCGTAATCTGAAATAAAAATTGAATTATTGAATTGAATTGCGGGGACGGACATTGGGGACAGGAGACATGAGAGGCCCTTTCTCAAAGGGTATCGTGCGAAATGGGAATATTGCGCGTTACGCAATGCGAGAGAAAGATAAATAAACACGTCGTACGACGTCGTGTGAGTCACCGCGCGTAAAGACAGTCGGCGCCGATAGCGAAAGTAAGACGCAATATCGCGGCAATATCGAATACAAGGTGTATACGCGCGAGAATCTGCGCGATAATTCGCGATGGACAAACGAGGCGTCAGATGGCGAGACTCGACTCGCAAAACGAGTTTTGGAAGCCGAGGAACGGCGAATGCGAAAGAAAAGACGAACCCGACGAAGCACGGACGAGAACGAACGAGCACGATCATGTTATTTACATTTTTCCATTATAATCTTTCCAAAACGGTTCAATAAAACAGATTTAAAATTTGACAGGATGTCAGAACATTAAAGTTAATTAATCTATTTTCCAGTTTATTTCGAAATTAATCGAAACAAAAATTGCAAATTATTCCTTATCACTCTTGAAAGGTTGCCGCAACTACAACTACAATCCTGAGATACCTGCGTGAAGATATTCAAATTCGAAATGGGTTTAAAATAAACTTCACGTAAGTACGCATATAAGGCGTGAAGTGAACGCAGATGTGTGAATCTCGCACGGAAATGTCGTCACGAATCTCGTCACGCGATAAAGAGAAAAAAATCGCGTCGTTTCTGCTCGTAAACAAAAGCAACTCGATTATTCGTAGAGATAACCGAGGATTGCGAATGCTCGGATTAGAGGATTGATTCGCGACGCGAGAGATCTCACCTCTACTCCTTGCTCTTGCTGATCTGCCGTTTGTTGTGCTCGGTATTCATCAGCTTGGTGAGGATCTTTCTGGAATGGCCGCTCGGGTCGAAATGATTGGTATGTGCTACGGCCTCGCGTTTGCTCCTCTGCTTGCCGCCGTGGGCGGTGAATATGTGCTTGTCGTAGTCGTAGTTGAAGTGCTCGTACTCGTCAACGTGCGCCTCGGACATAGCTTACGGGGATTCGATTCTCTCGGGGTCGTTTATGAAAAATATGAAAGTAGAGTCGCCTCGCGACGCAGACTGCGCAAAACGTATACGCCTTGTGAAACGCCTTGTAAGAACGTGTCCCGACCGTGAAGATCGATTCGATACTGCTCGCGCGGCGTTCGCCGACCCGAGTTTATATACGTCGACCCGGCTCACGCGCGCATGCGCGGTTCGCGCGATTCGACGCGTATCGAGGTTCTCTTCACCGGCGACGGCCTCCCGGCACGGCGACTTCTGCAAATACGGTACGAATTTAATATGCAATGATTTTTCTCATTAATTCCGGAAAGAGAAAAAGGAACGTGCGCGCGGCTTTACTTGCACTTTTTTTATCTAATTGCGTGATATCAATGCGTCGACAATGGTAACCTTCATCCGTGCCGATAACGTCGTATCGAGAAAGTCCCATTTCGATCAGACTTCTTCGCAAAATTATGCAATTCCTGTGGAGACTTATGATCAATCTATATTCGATAGATCGAGGGAAACAAATCGCGAAACAAACAAAGTTTATGACGCAATGTGATAACTAATCGAGACTGGACACGTCAATAAAATTTTCACATATTTATACATTTTAGATGCTTCTTCGAACGAAGCGACAAGCACGAATTCTCAAGGACAAGAGTAATCAGGTAGATAGAACATTGTACCGTAGGAAGTGGGAACATATGTTGTATTGTTATACAGCCAGTCGTCGAAGTCTGTAAATTATGTACTCAGCTGTATTTTCCAAAGTTATAGTAACTTTAACTCCGAATAATTTATTCAGCGACTCACTCTTCAAGTAATGTTTATATTATTTTTTAACATAGGCAGATTATATATACTTTGTTGTTTAATCACATCAGATCAGATCATCATGATAAATTATATAATTAGAAGTTTTTTATGAGTCTAAATTAAATTAATCGGAGATTGATCGAAGATATGCTTATTTTGCACTTATTTCAAAATAATATAACGATATAAACAACAGAGATAATTTCTATCTATAGATATTGTTATCTGTGTATTAAGTACAAACCGAAAACCTAAATAAAATAATTTAGCGTGCGATGAGTTATCAGACATTATTGCTCAGAACGTAATCGAATATTCGGCAATCGAACCGGGCTATCGACAGCATAATTTAAAACGGTCGCGACTTCTTATAACCATGATTTCCGTCGTAAACAAGATCTTCACGTTCCCGTTGCACCCAGCAATCATTACTCACGTGGTTAATCTATGTTCCAGGCACACGTGACCTAGAAAATTCCAACACGTAAGCTTCTCCGACATCCAAGTGCATTGCCTCCTACAAATTCTATGGATTGTGCAGCGCTGATACAACTGCACAACAGTGCACTGCCTTCAACAAAGTGCATTTGATTTCCGAAGAGAAAAGTTTTATATTCAGGACTGCACTTCGACTTATCTCAGAAAAATCCTTGAAGAATCGCATTGGCAATTCTGTTGATCTGCGTTAAGTTGAAAACATTTGCGAGAATGAAACGAATAGAAAGGAACGAAAACACGCATTAGTTGCACATGCGTATTTGAGGAATCGACATTTACGACATTTATATATTATCGATAGGAAAAGCGCGTGTCAGCTCGTTTTCTAATCATTCATAAAAATAAGGCGTGAACTCGCAATTCACCTTGTGCAGCGAGACGCTCATAACGAGGACATAAACAGTTCGAGAAATATTTTGTTGTTACATTCACCGAGCGGGATATGAATATCATTCGGCGTTGTGTGAAGAAAGCCGATATCACACATTGACCCACACACAAGATCGAACTTACTTCTCTACGACACACGATGCGAAATTATCGAAGCGTAAAAGATTCGTCACAACGAAATTTCTAGATTATAGAATATTGTATTTCTCGAATCACCTTATTTTAGATCACGCGATTACAATAACTTTTTTGTTTTACATGCGAATTTTTTTAGTAAGATTTTTTGCTGACATTAGTGAGTTGAATAACATCGCGATGAGAACAATAAAATTAATAAATAATATTCTTCGTACCCCGACATTTTATGAAAAATATTTTGATACGTTTGCAGAATCCATAACATGACATATTCATCGCTGCGCGCGTGTTTTTGCAGTGAAATATAATATTTATTCAAGCAGGTATCGTCGGTATCTGTTAATTAATGATATAAACAGATGTTTTATATTTGGATATTTATGTTCTTATTCGATATTCTCATATAATGTTGTCTCGTTCCTCATTAAATGTCACGCATGCGAATCTGGCATCTGGTTTATATTCAAAAGAGTGAATTCTTTCATTCACGGCGCAGTTTCGTCAAGGTCGAGTAGTGATACGAACGATGAATTATCTCGACTAGGCATGGAATACGTGCTCGTTCTCGTGCTCTTCTCGCCGACATGACGTTTAATTATAGCTTGTAGAAAACGTTATCGCAGCTAAGTCAGCGGATGACAAAGTCCGCAGCTCTTCCTTTCTTCTTTGTTTTTCAACGTTTTACGAAAATGCCGTGCGAAGAAAATTGTCTATCATATTCGAAGGACGGCGATGATCAGACGAAAGGAAATCGGGCGCGGGTACATAGTACCGTTAATCGATTTCCTGATAAGACGTTAGCATTAATCGACTCCGGTCTGTTCTCAAACTGGCGACTAAATCGCGAATCCTCCTTTGACGGCTTCGAGAACAGGTTTCGCCGAGTGTAGTAGGGGAATCGCGCTAAAGCAATGCTGTATATGAGCGACGCTCCCAAACGCCGCCTTTACATCGCAGAAAGCTCCATGACCCCAAGAAGACTAGAAGAAGGAGAAGCGCAGTGACGTACCAAGGATATGAAAAATAGTTCCTTCTTAGCAAAGTACTAGTCGTTAAAATAGTGCATTATTTCATGTAATAAAATTTAGTTTTTATTAAATAAGAAAGTTATTAAAAAATTATAATAGAGAAACTTATTTAGGAATATCGCGGAATAAATATGTAGGAGTGCGACTGTGAAAATTAAGATGAAATATACAGTATGTGTTTTAAGCTACTTGGTAGCTTAAAACGGGAAACAAATCGCAGCAATGCCAATGTCAAGGCTTTACAAATACTATACAAATACTGTATAAAAAACACGACAAAGCTAGAAGTTTTCAATTAAGTGTCACATTCACGAAGCGTTGTACAGGCTGTGCTTTCGAATCTTACAAATATATATCAATCATATTACAAGGAATAAAATTCATCGATATTTCCGTATGTCGTTATACTTATGTCATTATACCTAGCTTGCATACAAAAATAAATAAATATCTCGGAAGTTCAAGGGAAGATAAATTTGAGATAATGGATATCATTGGAAGGAAAAGCGATGTAAGGATAAGGTATGACGAGAAACGTGTAAAAGTTGTATTGAACGATAATATTGTGTCAATTTTTCAGACACAAACTCGCCAATAATGATAACAAGATCGATATCGTATCAATATTACAATAATCATAAAAGATATTCGATGTTGTTTGAACAAGATTTTGTTGTTCGCAAAAGGTTTGCATCACGAGGTGACGGCTGAATAAATCACGCGAATCAATCGATTCCGTAAACATCGCCGCCTTTGCGATAATCGGCGTTCGCGAAAATTGTGGAATTTTCGTAATGTATAACACAAACTACGCTGCCGCGATTTCTATAGCGTTTCACAGTATGTCCTAAACGTTTTAGACCATCGATCACCTGTTTAGGGACACCGTATTCGTAAGCCACCTTTGGCGGAAATAGCTGATGATGTATTCTTGCCGAATCTACGGCCTCTTTGACTGTCTGCCCCATCCAAAGTATTTTCGCAGTCACCTAAAAATAAGGAACACATACAATTTTCGTTTCCTGAGAAACTGTTGATTTATAAAATTTCTCAACACTGAACAGAAAGCGGGCTGTTGACTATTTAAGGTGTTACTAACTTGGGACACTGCCGTTGTAATTTTCGTACCACCCGCGGCACCAATGACCATTTTGACGTCACCATGCTGATCGACAAGAATGGACGGCACCATGGACGACAACGGCTGCTTCTTTGGTGCAATGTAATTATTAGGACTTGGTGGCATACCGAAATAGTTGAACTTTAACGGAATGCTGAAGTCATCCATGCCATTATTTAACAAAATGCCAGTTCTTTTGCTGACTATTCCGCTTCCAAAACTGTAAAATCGTTAGATGGAAGGAGTACAAGGATATTTCAAGCAAACGATGCAATTTTAGGTGGAAATTTGCTTACTAATAGTTAATGGTGCTGGTAATCGATACGGCATCGCCATTCTGCGCTAGCACCGATACGTGCGCGGTACCATGATCCTCAACACCAACATAATTAGAAGAACCATAGTGCCGTGGATCTTGCCACGTTTGCTCATCATCTATTTTCTCTCGAATCGCGCGTGCGAAGCTTTTCGATGTCAGATTTCTAATTATCTTTAAAGGAATTCAAATAATGAATAAGTTCTAATAGGATTATAAAGAGAAATTATTTTCACGTATTTACTTCGGTCATATTGACGAAAGCTCCGTCACCGAGATTTGTCCTTAACGCGAACGCGTATTTGAACGTCTCTATCATTCTATGATACGTGAGGATCGTCGCATTAAAATCGGCTATACTGGCAGGTGTGAAACCATAATCGTCGAAGATGTTAAGAATAAACGAGAGAACGGCTCCACTACCGGGTAGTCCTGTAGTCAGAAGTTTTATCCCGCCCGAGAGATTCGTTTGTATCGGTTGATCCCACGAAACTCTAAAAATTAAAAAGATGTACACTTAAGAATATATATTTTGTAGCAGATGATTATTCGATTACCTGTATTCGTTAAGATCTTTCATCGTTATGATTCCTCCTTGTTCTCGCAAATCATCGACGAGAAGTCGTCCAATCGTCCCGTTGTAAAATTCAGTCGCATTTCTCTCAGCAATAATACACAACGTTTCGCAAAGCACGTGAGGTTTAATGACAGAGCCCGGCTTACGAAACTCGTTAGTTGTGGGATCGACAAACAGCTCCCTGTGAAAGATTGCAAAGAGAATATTACATATCCACACACTGTCGTAGTTTCATCATTCGTTATATGTGGTTTGTATTTACAAGTTCATACCTTAGAGTTGGATCGTTATAAATATTTTTCTTATTATATACAAGGCCGTCATATTGCACTGCTGTCAACACGTAGCCCTTTTCGCAGAGCTCGATGCTCGGTTTGAACAAATCTGCCCATGGCAATCTACCGAATTTTTGATGAGCCTCCCAGTAACCGGCCAGTTCACCAGGCACAGCGACTGCCAGTGCGCCTGTCGATAAAAATTCAATATTAAATATTTTTTTTTCTAACACTCACGACATTTGTTTAGAAAATAACTATCTCTTTACCAAATGAAGACGCATTCGGAGATTTCCCATCGTACATCGTAAAATTCGCTGCCAAAGGTGCACGATCTCTGGCATTGAGAACAAAAGCCCGGCGCGTAGATCTTTCATAAATTGTCATCATAAATCCACCGCCGAAACCCAAACTTTGCATATTCACGAGTCCATTGCATATTAACGCGGCCAGCGCTGCATCCACCGCCGATCCGTTTCGTTCCAAGATCGATCTGAAAAAGCATGATTTTTATCGAATCTCGTCGAATTACTCTTGCGAATTAACCCTTTTGTTGCGGACATTATACAGGATGTCAAAATTCGCGGCTCAATATGTGTCTTCAAAAAATATATTTATGGAAAATCACTCACCAATTCGAGACGACTTGGCGATTTAGAATATACAAAAATAAAAATGTCAAAACAAAGGAATCATATTCATCAATATAAGGATCTGATGGTAAAATATTATTTTCCATAAATAGGCTTTTTACGTGAGGAACTTAAATTATTTGAACAGCCCTGGTTCTGATACTGCATGCCACACGTGTAGTGAGCAACAAGTGCATCGGACAGGTGCATCGCGCCGCGGTGAAAGAATTAAAAAAAATTGACGTTTTTTTCACACTTACTTGCCGATAACAGCACATGGTGCTCCATCCGCACAAACAGCGCTGCGTCTGAAAGTTCTCAACTTACTCCACGATGGTGGTTGCAAGTTTTCTGGATCGGGTGGCACGAGAAACTCACCATTTCGCGAATCCGAAGCGCCGCTACGCGCGTACGCGATCAGACCGATGATTATGACGATTATCACTGCGGCCACAACGGCACCGATTATGATTACATGTTGTACACGAAATCGCGACCTAGAAAACAGCGATAATATACTGATAAAGATTGTATCAAAATTTGACTGATCAATTTTTATATACATAAACAGTTTTGATGAAGAATAATCTCGTTATTTTTGCATTGTAATTTATCAAATCCGCTTTTAAGAATAACACCGATAATGACTTTATTTATTGTTTTTTTTCTCACTTTATCTCTCTGTATCGCTGAGACTTTATGCTGAGATCATTTAGCATGTATATAACTTAATAGGCTAATAAATTAAGATTAACAGATTAAGAATTAATAATAATGCATATGCTTAATATAATTTTATTATTTTAATTTGAAGATACACTGATATAATTAATTTGACTATGTACTGTGATATTAACGTATATTGATTATTCTTTTTTTGCATGCATGATATGCAGAGAAGATTAGATTTTAATACTTTCAGTTTTTACTATGAAGTAGTCAAAACATATAAATCAGTAATAATATTACTGATCTGTCTAAAAATATGTTAATTTATTCTCTTAATTATTGATTTTTAATATAAACAAAATCGATAGAGTCATAATGCGTAGAGTGAATTGTATATATCGAGATGATGAGAATATTTTTGCATTAGAATTTTTAAATAGTTAGATGCTATTAAGACTGTACATATCTAATAGACAATAAAGCTTGGCATAATTTTCTTTGGCATAATATTCTACACACTAATATATTTATATTTGCAAGTACACTATCGATAATGTAATATTATAAAAATAAATTTCTAATGTCTAATCTGGAAAAAGTTGATATGAAAATTAATAAAAACATTTATTAAATTTTATATAAATAAACGGCAGTAATCTGTTAAGAATGTATAATTTTATCTCCATATATGCAATTCTCTCAATTCAAAACTCTGCGCGTTATGAATGTATTTACGTATCGATTCTTTTTCGTTGTTTATATTAGAAATCAATATATTTTAATATATTATAATACATATTTATGCAATTGTAATTTTTTAATATTGGAAAGTACACACACACACACACACACACACACACACACACACACACACACAACACACAA